AGAAACAGTCCTCATATGTCTTAAAAATACGATTGTATTAAAAATATCTTAAAAATATCTTAAAAACTATATCCTTAAAAAACTTAAAAATAGTTACGAATATAAATATATATATGTATACAAATATTATAAATATACAAATGATAATAATAACATAATATAAAAATAAAAGTAAAAGAAATAGAATACAACATTGGTATCTCGGAACCACGGAATCCACCGCTATCCAAGACCAAAAGTCATAACCAACACTAATCCATACTAACATAAGTCAATACATAAATAAAAAATACCTAATAAATTATAACAAATTCAAATAAATTGAATAATAAATCATTCAATGGGCCGGCAAAACCTTAAAATATATACAAAAAGAGATGTTTTTGTTCAACAGGCGAATAGGTATTACATTTGCCAAATTCTCTATTTAAACTTTTTAAACAAATTTATTTTAACATATTTAATACACTAATTTTTACATTATTATTTAGTTAAGTAAATTAAAATAAAAATTTTGAAAAATAAATTATAGTTCTATATATATAAATAAATTAGAAAAAAATTTTTAATAATTACTAAGTATTCGATTATTTTATAAATTTAATATTAAATCAAAAAAAACAAAACAACCATATTTTCAAAACTGAATTACAAATCATAATCGTCAAGTGGTTCGTCCTTTATCCATAGCCCCAACTCATCCGTTCTTATAATACCAGCAAATTCGTCGTCAGAATTGTTGTTGTCAGATGGTGGTTGTGGTGCATTTTGTCTTAAGAGGCTATGACTAAAATTATTAATTGCTCTAGCATTATTTGCATGTACCGTAAAAATTGGTAGAGTCGATTTTTGAATAATTGCCATAGCAGTCGTAGCACCATCTACTCTTTCCGAAACTGTGTATGATACTCTTGGTGCGAGTCTGGCTCCTGGTCCTATTGGTACTGAATAAGATTTATTTTCAACTGTTTTCTTTTTAAATTTTTTGCTTTGTGGACTTTCAATTACAGAGTCATTGAAGTCTCTACAGTCATCTAAAGTCGTAACTATAGCTTTAAAAATATTTTGAATTAACACGATACGCTGTCGTTTATTTACTGTTTTTATATATGGTTTATATATATCGAAATATGTGTCTTCTTTCGATCTATTCGTATCAAATTGTAAAGATTTCTCACACATAATTGGCTTAAATGTATTTAATTGTAATTGTGTTCGCTTTGCAAAGCTTGTATCGATTTGAACGTTTGCAAACTTAGCCGGTGGTATTTCTTCGCCTTCAGATTATAAAGCTTGAAGAAAAATGAAGGCCCGTCAATTATTTTCAGTTTTCTTGGCATCTTTTTTTTTTTTTGTGGCATCTTCATTATCAAATCGTTCTATATAATCGATATCATTATTTGTTTGTGCATGAGGAACTAATAATTCAACAAGATCAGCTAAATAATTCTCCTTATACGAGTTAACGTACGTTTCGATTTCGACCGAATTTTACAAATATTGACTGAAATAATAAAAATAACAATATTAATGAAATTCAATACATAATATAAATAAAACTAAAATATGTAAAGGAAATTGACGTCTTTTAGTCTTTTTAACATTTATTAAAATAAAACATGAAAAGAATTGAAGTAAACCGGAATATATGTACATAAACAAACTATTTTAATTTCACTTAATAATTAATTTAACAAACTTACTTAACACTGTATAACTCTCATTTGTGAGTGAATACGATATTGGCATAAGCCTTATTTCTGAGTGACTGAGTGACAGAAGAATAGATATATCAAAAAATGCTGACTTAAAATCAAGTTCGTGAAGAAATGAGTGGAATTGAGTGGAAGATAAATCAGTTTAAAGGAGCTTTGTTAAATGAATCGGAAAAGTGTTATAAGTGTTATGGCTTGACAAACTCCTTCTTACTGTGCGAAAGTAATCTGCCCAATATGGAGAGAAATATTATTAATTGGTGGATCGAATGGAACTAACAGAAAAGAACAACTTTCTATGAAAAATTATAACACAAAATCAAAAACAACTTCTTTTGAACTACCAACGAAATGAAGTATGTTGGTCATGGCACTCTGCTATGCAAAAAACCTTACGTACACAGAGTTAATATCCAACCCAATTCATATTTACAACTAAAAACTTAAGGTTTTTTGTGGAAGAAGACTGAAGTATGTAGTCACATTATATATTTGCTCTTAGAACAGCTCCAATAAGAAATGTAAGTGAAACATGGAAGAATTGAGAAACACCCTAAGAATACATCCTAATAAAATAAACGTAAGAGACTTTCTCTTGCCTTCAATGGCAAGGTTGTACAACACCAACAACTACAGAAGATTAACATAAATAGTTAATGACCATAAATTTACATATTATTTTTAAGATATATAAGAAAATTTGATCCTAGCTTTCAGATGACATCATTTTCTGCAACAAAAATCTGTCAAAATAATGACAATCACGATTTCAACAGTACTTTCGAAATGCAATGGCATTTATATCATTGACATTGAGATACTCCTACTTCCAAAGTCAAATAAAAATAGAAAGTTCTTGCCAATTTATTTGAGGGGAAACGAAGAACAGCAAGTTAATGTTTGTAGAAAGAGCCATTGTTAGATTTGAAAAATTTTATTGAATGCAAAAGGTCGATTAACTCAGACTTTCCAAAACGCTTCGGAAAGACAGCAAAACGATAATTAAATGGTCGCAATCGTATTGTCGTGAATGTTGTGTACAACTACTTAGAAAAAGAAGTTGGTGCAAACATTTTAGTTCAATTGGTGTATATATTGGTGAACACAACACAAAAATTGCAGATTATCCTAAAAATGTTCAATATGGCAACAAAATTTGGCAAATCTAGAGTAAATTTAGATTAAGTCCAAATTCAACAGATACAAACGCCATTAGATAGAACACTCAAAGACTTAACTGAAAATGATGCACTATTCGGAGATGCATCAATTTTGCTTTAAGATGATTTTCAACAAACTGACAGCAACACCACGTCCGACATTCATAGATGAAAAAACAAAACTACAAATATAGTTAGCCTTACGTTAAATGGAAACCTTTGTTGTAACTGAAATTCACTTTGTATGTCTAAAACACATACATAAAATCGGTTCAGAGCTGGTTCGAAAGGGGTTCAGGACAACATCTTAGAGATATAGTTATGCATAAGTTTAAGGTGAAGCATTAGTTTATTTATACGCACATGAAAACGCAACCGTGGATCGACCAGTGTATAATAAACGAACTTTATTAATATTAAATAAAGAACAATTAAATAAATAACATAAAGCATGCTAATATGAAACTGTCTTCCACTTAAGAACTGCAATATAAATACTCAAGAACACTGAAGGAAGTACTATAGTTCAGACGTTTTTCTAAAGTTTTTACATAATTTTAGGCGAGTTTTCATAGAAATTGCCATTATTCGCATGTTTCACTTAAATTTCAGATTGCAGCTGCCCTAATTGCACATATGTGGAATGTGAATGCACCCAACTCCCGTAAGAAACATTAAATTAGAATGTTAAAAGTATAAAACATTACTCAGCCAGAACTCACTGCTCCATGTTAAATCCATGTTTTTTTTCTAATATAATACAGTGATTGTCAAGATGGTCAAATCCACGTGTGAAGATAACCAACTATTTAAGTAAATAAAAACAAATACAATTGCTACAGATAAACATGGTGGTGGCGGTGTGCTTTTACATTATATACTGTGTGTTTGTAATTGTTATATCATAATTTTTTAATATCGTTTAATTAACAATTTTATTCATAATATGTTATTCTAAATTAGAAATAAAACTGGTAAAAAAAGAAAGACTTATAGTGTTAATTTATGAGGAATTGAAACAAATTTTGGTTCGTTGAGTTGGCTGTTCGTTAAATCGCCAAAATGTCCGGCTAAAAACAATTGTAGGCTCTAATAGGGTTACAGGGGTTTATCATGAATGTGCGTAGAGGTAGAGTTGAAATGCGTTAAACAAATTATTCATATAATGAATTAGACAAGACTGAAGGACATGTAGGAATACTGGGGCGAAATGAAAGTAATTTATGGATAAAGAATGGTAAAGGTGTCATATTCTCTGTTTGATCTAATTATTCCTGTGCATGTGTGTAAAAATTTTTAATGGCACTAAAATTCTTTTTTTGATTGTTATCTGTAGCATTTTCTCAGTTACCAAGAACCCCATCCCAAAATCGGCGAGCATACCGGGCTAGCCATTGTGCCATGAGCGAAATCTGAAAGCGTCAATGTACCAACAGGCAGACACAATATATAGGAAACATGCACAAACATTTATTTTATGACAAGATATTTGTGTAGGTTGAGCCTAGTACTAACAACCATATCTTACGAAAAATCAACATAAAACTCCATATAAAAAAGCTTTCTACAATGTTAAAATTTTTCAAGACATCTTTATTATTGAAGTTTTATTAATTTTTCGCACATAACGGTTATTAGTACTATGGCTAGCTTGAAAAAGCAAATTTGATATTTCATATTATTAACTGAGAAATGTTATTTCATTATTTTGTGAATTGTAAATATTTTGCACGCATCCTTTACACTAAATGTATCAAAATATAAAAATCAAATACTCAAAAATTCTTCGACTAATTGACTACGTTACGGACATAAATACAGTGGCAAAAAATTCTTTGAAAACATATTTTCAGTTCAATTTAGTTCAACTCACACAAAGTATTATCAGTAGTTCAGATCAGATCTGTTCCATGGGTTACCCCAAGTAGAACCTGAGTAAAATCCAAATAACGTATTAACTGAAGCACCAATCAAATGAAATGCCATATTACACTAAATTTCATTTCACGCTTTTCATAAACAAAACAATTAAAATTACAAGTTCACGTTAAAGATATGGAAAAGTTTTAAACATTTCTTACTTTATTGAGTAATTAATTAATTTAATAGTTATTGAATTCAATTCCAAAACGGAACATCTGATTTATATATTAACACAAATTGTGGATAAGTCAACACCTGCATAGTCAAGGTGTTGACTTATATTATATAAATAAAAATGACTATAACCGCCTCATTGCACGCATCTCGAGATCATAGATGATATTCGAGACGGTCAGTTTAGCTTCCACTGCCAAATATCTGGGTAGCCTTTTGACAGTTTCGCTTACACTTCTAAAAAATAAGTCATATGTATTTCTAGTTGATACGAGTGTATCCGATTCTGATTCGTCTTCATCATTGTTTGATTGCGTGTCTTCAGCGTATTTTGCACGTTTAGTGTTCATATTTTTTTTTGTACGATGCACACGTTTTGTTTGGTACACATTCTCTTCGCATTCCTCAATTCTTTGAGAACTAAATACAAAAGAGTTTATTCAATTAATTCAATTAATGCAATTTGCCTTACTCTAAGTTAATATCATATAAAATACAAAGTATGCTAGAAAAACATGCTAACATCTTACCTTTCCACGTAATTTTTATATATGTTCGTTCTGTATTCTCCATGAGCAATTTTTTCATGTAACTTCAACTTAGTTTCAGACCAAGGGAGAGTAATATTCTTATTACAAACTTTGCAAAATGCCATCAATGCATTTTGACCGTCATAAGAAACCCAATCATACTTCTTTCGTAACTCGTCACTAATACACGAATAAGTTTTACTATTAATTATGAACAAAGTCTCATTCTTTATTTTTTCTGCAGTTTCACTAAAATTGTGGAAAAATATTATTTTAAAAGGAATGACTTATACTATTGAAACACGTACTTTACTATCGATTGATCCTTGTGTATTAATGTTAGAAATTTCGTATGATTACATCCTCTAGTGTGATGTTTAAAATAAATTGATTTTATGTAAATATCACAGAGCACACAATAACTCTGTTCTTTAAAATTAGTTAGAGTTAACAACCAATTATTCCTAAAATTTAGTTAGTATTCAAAAGTGGATTTGTTAAAAAAGTTAAAGTATTACATAGTAAAGACGCCATTCTCCTCTCCCGATCCATTCAGTTTAACTGCGTCTTTGTGTGCTTGGGATCTTTGGTGGCGTTCTCGCAAGTGAATATACTTGCAATTTATTTTAATTAAGCAAAACTTGTTCGAGCCAGTAATAACTTTTTAACCACTGATACCAAATGAAATCTAGAAACTCATTAAAATTGAACAACTCATTTCTCATTTTATTAGAGGCTTCATCATTAGATTCAATTTCTCTCTTTATGTGCATATTTGAGCTATAAAAAAAAATCCCATATAGTTAAAATATATGATTGTTTTAACAAATAATTAATTCACTTATTTAGTTCTTTATATTCCATAAACTCCAATTGATATGATGAAAATTCCTTATGTAAAATTGATTTGCTGTGGCGTTTAAGCCTTTTTAGACAAATTTTTACATCACAACATACACAATAGTAACCTTTTTCTTCATCTCTTGCAATCCATTTATATTTTCTACAAGCAGAAGTCCAATTTTCACAATTCAAATACTCCCTTCTACCCCAATATTTCTTGTAAACACAACCGGAGAATTTTGGATGTTTGAAGTCTCCAATTTGAATTATGCTTGTTGGATTTATTTTTATTGTGTTATCCATTCTGAATTTGCTAATATTCCAATTATATTCCAATTAAGAATATTTATAAAACATGTCCACTTCCGCAATGACGCTGAGCTCGCAAAAAATTTCACTCAAATGTCTTACTATGGTTACCAGATATTGACAGATATTGATAGATATTGCCAGATATTGCTAGATATTGCTAGATATTGCCAGATATTCTAAATATCTGGTCAACACTTATCAAAGTCATTTGAAAGTGGGATAATAATTATTTACAACTAATAACGTAGCCATAATTGAAAGCAAATTTTTTGGCAATAAAGCCTCTGTCATATCAACACAAACAATCTGTTAAACTCAAAATATCAAGAAAAATAGTTAATATAGTTAATAGATTCCAATTGCATTTAAAGAAAATCTTTAAAAATTGTTTTATTGGCAGTTATTGAATGTACCAATATTTAAATTTCTCCATACCAGATCTTTTTACAGCAAAAACTCTTTGCAAAGAAATACGTAAGACTTAAAAGACCTTAGAAAAATATTCATATATAGTTTTAGGTTTAAAATTTAGTAATCTAAAAAATATTTTTTTTTATAAGAGAATGAAATAATTAAATCTACTCTTATCATATTTGTAAGAATTATTAATATAAACAAAGAACATATGACAAAATGGTGAATTATTCATACACTTAGCAAGTTAAAAGCACGTTAACCAGTTAAATTTTTCGATGTGCTTAGATCTTATTGCTGATTGAGTTAATATTTATGAAATGAATTGAATCGCTTTAAGTTAAGGGAAGCAATTTCTATCAGTGCCAAAGTAAACAAAGTGAAAGCGATGAAAGTCTATTAAGTATTGATATACGATATAAACGTAAGAGGTATTATATTTAAGAAAATATACAGTTTACTACAAAGTTATTAAACATTCGATTAAATTTAATTAGTAGGGAACTCTATAAGAAAAACCTTTATCAGATTGAAATCGGTCATAAATGATCGAATTTTTAATTATTGAACGGATATATTGAGCTTAAAAATAGTGTAAAATATGTATGGAATACCAAAGAATTGTTTCTAATTATTGATTGTTTTAATCATGCTAAATATATATAATAATTGTTCATTTTTGTTTAAAGCTCTTGTTGTTTTATATAAACGCGAAAACATAATGTAGATATACATGTGGCGAATCGGACACACATACTTCAGCGCAGTGGCGACGCGTGCCCTATCTGGAAGGGTGTGCGGCCCTTCTATAAAGTTGTTTTTACATGTACCACTTAAATGAACGTATATGAGATGTTTTATTAATAATAACTATATTTTATTAGGCAACAATATATTCGCAGTATTATATTAACAATTCATTAACAAAATAACATATTAAACAAATTAAATTAATAATTTATATATAAGTTTGATTGGCGGCATCCTGTTATGTTGTTAGAATTATGGAAACGAAAGTTTATTTAAAATTTTTGAAGTAAACCAGAACGAAAATACTGAACGAACTTAACATTTTGATCTAAATTTATTACCATTAACACCCCAAACATACTACAATGGTCGTGAAAGAGTAGGTACCGCAGAACACGTTTTGAGAACTGCAAACCGTTCATCCAATCATCAGACAAGGATCCGATTGTGCATTTATTGAATTTGTTAAAAGAAATTATGATATAGACAATAGACAAGCAAGCCTTCAATTGCTTGAAAGAAGAAAGACCAATATTGTTACAGAGGTAACTTTAAATCTTCTTACTCCTATGCTCTGCAAATTGACAGATATTATCAAACAAAAATTAGTATCAACTCATTATGAAAAATATGTATTTTGTCTTAAGTATAACTTTTGAAACGCTGACTGTGTCAATATTTTCTCAAAGTAAATTTGTTTTTTTTTAATTCTGCGTGAACACAATTAATTATCGGAGGTATACTAATAAACTATATAAATAATCAATTAGCTATCACAAGTTATTGTTTGATTGAGATTGTGTTTGTGTTTGTGATTGTCATGTGAAAAGCTTGCAATTTTAAATCCAATTAAATCGGGGATCAAGCAACCTCCAAATATAGTTTCACAAACTTATAAATATGCAATTTAATTTTAAACTTACCTCATGTTTATGTTCTTCACTTATATCAAAGGATTTTTGCATTTCAAAAACAATAAAAATAAACTTTAATTTCAAAGGTGTTGGTTTGAAAACCACCAACTGCTGATGCGTTTTTCCATTTAAACATTTGCAATAAATATTTTTCATTTTTTCATTTTTTTAGAAAGCATCCTGTCTTGAACAAACAATCCATGTAAAATATTGTTTTTTGAAGGTTTTTTATTCATGAACGCATACACTTATTGCATAGTATTGAAGACCAGTAACCAACCACAATTATTGCTTAATTACTAATAAGAAATCCATACCCGTTTCTTAGAATTCAACTGCTATTGCAGCCCAAGCCTCCTCATTCCGTGCTTTTGTTATAAACTTTATGTCCGTGATCGTACACGACAGCTAACTTTCGAACCGAACTTTCGACCGACAAAGTATTGCAATTTATTCCTATTTGTGATATTTTCTATTACTTTCACTTCAAATAATAAACTATGTTACAGCAAATTGAGTTCCTACACAGCTCTTATAAAGCGTCTTTGCCTGACGCTTTGCAGCAAATTGCTGAACTATAGTTGACATTTACCAGTGATGCAGTGATGGAAAACGCAAAAACAAGAAAGTGCACATTGCTGAATCAAGTTTACACAAATGACATTATTTACACAAATGAATATGTGAAACATAAGCAAAACACAAATAAATTTATATATTATTTGTACGTATGTATTAAAATTAATACCGTATTATAAATATTTGAACGCTTTTTAATAGTGTTCAATAAATATAAATCATAAAAAAATTTATTGTAATGGCGCTTCAATTGGTAAATCTGGTGTTACTTTTTTAATCGAGATTCACTCTTGGTTTAAGGTTTAATTTTCATTTTTGATTAGTTAATCTGCATAACACTCGAGATTAATGCGCAGCACTCGAGATTAACTCGAATATGACAGTCTAGATATTTTGCCAGAGTAGCACGATTACCCCGAAATTAACAGCTGTTTAATGTGACTTGACAAATAATGTATGATGTGATCGATATATGTATTTATGAAAAATAAAAATGTCTACTAACACTACTTAAAAATATGTTAGAATACCTTAAAAATGTTCGATTGAACAACATTTGACAGATCTAGAGTAAATCTTGATTGAATCCAGACTTTCCAATCGGATATGTATACGTCATATGTTAAGTTTACCAATTGAGAGTTAATACTAATTTAGAAACATGGTACGTTAAAACAAATGTAATAGTTTTTTATTATTAAAACTCGCAAATTGTACAATTTTCACGGATCATAATCAGACTTCAACTCAAAGTCCTATGTTATGGAGTATTACACTACTTTAGTAGTGCTACTTTTGTACTTTAGTACTTTAGTAGTGTAATAGTAGTGGCCTTTGACACATTTTAATTCTCAATGTTAATTTTTGTATAGTTTTAAGCCAAAATACATATATGAAGCATTTATTTATAATATAACAATATAAATATAGATAAAATACAATAAAATACATATTCATAGAATGTGGAATATAAAAATGTATATAAATACAAAGAAACTAATACTATTATTATTAATAACAATAATTCCAACATAACAATTCTAATAGAATGCTCTGTACTTTTAAACTATTAATAAATAAATACACATATTATGGATATATACTTTAAATTGTGGTATATAATTTAAATAAATCAATACATCTACTAAAATGGTTTTTAATAAAAACGTTTCTAATGTATCTAAATTTATATAATTGTTTATCTGGCGAAATTTCTTGCCGACTTTCACTCGTTCCGGTACTGTTATATCTGATTATTCTTGGTTGTCCACTTAAGATACAATACTACAAATTGTTATATAGTAATAAGTTATGTAAATAAAATACGTAATTTTACAGTAATTTATTAGACATATCAAGAATTAACTTTTTCAGGTACATACATACATTTATTTAAAATTGTAATTGAATAATGATAATGAACATATTTTGAATTTCGTGAATGCAAAATATTCTATAACCACACAACATTAATATCTACTCATTTTTAAGACTACAATAAAGCATTTTAAATTTTTTGCAACCAATGCAACACGCAATTAAAGCGGTTAATGTGAAAATATTATTGTGAAATATTTAATTTCTAATTGTGTATAATTAAATTTAAATTTAAATTTTATTTTATTATATGTGATTCATATTTGCTGTCTCTTTTTTTATTTTATTTTGTTACCCTGTTCGTAGGTCTGTTCCACGAGCTACTTGTAGTAAAACTCAAGTAAAACACAAGTAAAGTACAAACAAAGAGCGTAACACAAATAAAGTGCCAAATTACGTTCCTTACACAGAGTTTCTTTGAACAGCTTTGAGTAAAATTTGGCGAGACCACCAGTGGCGCGCAAATAAACCAT